CTGAGAGAGGAGGAATGGGACTGGAACATATGGAAAAAAAGATTCAAAGAGACTTTTAGAAATAAGGGATGGAATAATAGAGCATATGCACATAATTATAAATATAAAGAGGCTATGCAATAAAAAAACAAAAATTATTATTAGAAGTCAACAAGGATATGTATATAGACACAGTGATAGATAGAATTGGATTTGGTCTGCCAGAAATCATCAGGGAAAAAATAGATAAAGAAAAGTTAGAGAATATAACAGATCTATTTAATGAATTAAGAACACATGAAGAAAAAATAGAGAAAAAGATTAATTTTAAAACAAAAGAAACTAAACAAAATTGGAGGTACAAGACTGAGGAAAAGAAGCCATGTAAGACGTGTAAGAACTTGAATAAAAATGAAAGATACTACCCAAAAAATAAATGCTGGTTTAAAACAAAACCAAATGGAGCTAAGGAACAACCAAAAATAATGGGTAATAATGCAGTCACAGAGGCAGATTTACAAGAAGAATCAAAAAACAGATCAGCACACCATTGATAAGAGTAAAAATGTTACTAGAAGATAAACTGAATATAAGTGGGATTTATGATCCAGGATCACAAGTATCAATAATAAGTTCAAAATTTATTAAAATAAGAAAAAACAAAAAGGATATGAATAAAATATCATTAAAAACAATCAACGGTGTGACACAAACAGATGGACTAGTAACTATAAAAATTAAAATATTTGAAATAGAAAAAGAAGTAGATGTATTTGTAGTTAAAAGTGATGATTTTGAGGATTTCTTAATTGGGCTGAATATGATAAAATTATTTAGATTAACTCAAGATGAGAACTTGAACATCTCTCAAAAGTTAACAGAGAATAAAATAAAAACAAAGATAGAAAAAATAAGCCCAACAGAAATTAAAGTAAACTTTAATAAACATGTCCAAGAAAAAGAATTTAAAGTAAACTCTAATAAACAGTTTTTTTTTATTGCATAGTCTAATAATGAACCCTCTTTATATTTATAATAATGAGCATATGCTCTATTATTCTATCCTTTATTTCTAAAAGTCTCTTTGAATCTTTYTTTCCATATGTTCCAGTCCCATTCCTCCTCTCTCAGTAGTTTCTACTAGTTTTTCTAATATTTTGGTCAAATTTGTATTTTCCATATATCACTAGGTTTTAAATCACCCATTTCTTTCAAAAATCTATCTCCAAACTGCAAATTCCCTGCTTCATCTACGTATGTCTTTTCAAGATAATCTGTTAATATGAACCATACATTGATTCTATCACCTCTCCTCTTCAAATCTGCCTTTAATCTGTTATATGCGCTTACTTTTTGTAGCTCTTTATGTGCACTAGCATATCTAACCTCCTCTGGTAATATAAACGTTCTTCCATCTGTTCCGATTGATGTTATAGCTATCACGTTTGACTTAGGCTCATTCGGCGAAGCTACGACTTGAAAAGTGAATTGCAGCCTTATGTTTTACCAAAATTGTCGTTTTATAAGGTATGATTCAATCTTTCTTGGATAATAATAATCAAATGTGTTTCTCTGCAAAACAAAGGTTAAATTTATTACTATTATAACAACTATCTACAACAATTACAAAATTACCTGCAAAACAAAGAAATGACAATTAAAGATTATTATATCTCTTCTTATCCACTCTTAACCAAATCTACTTATAATTCTCACTCTATATATTCAGTGCCACTTCCATCCATCTATTAGGGGCTAATTCCACGAACCGTGCACAGCGTGTGTCACGCGGCACACTCAACAAAGAAAGCCTGCTTTCTTTATATATATATATACACTTTACTATACATTTTATAAGATTTATACAAGTTAAATGAAAGTAATGGTTGAAATATCTAAATATAATAATGACATATATTATAAATTAGAAATGTTACCCGGTACAAAGGTGTTTGGGGTATTTCGCATACTCGTGTTCCTACAGAATCAAGACCAGGTAACGTAGCAATTGCTGCACGACTTTATGAAGATCCAAGTTCAATTTTCAAAGGATGGAAAGAAAATCCTGTAGATTTTGATTCGGTCTTCAATCAAAGCAAATCAACATGTGCATGGTGGAGTCCTGACATTATACCTTTATTTACAAAAGGTAATTCAAATCTAAATACAATCTACTTAGCAAAAATATATTTTTCTGTCTAATAATTATTTAATATTATCTATAATATCAGTTAATAAAAGGAACCATACATGGCGAAAGTTATCCTTCAGAGTGACAAGATTTCATGGCTTACAAAATAATATGTTACATCTAGATTCATGGGTATTCGATAAATATTTAGACTGACTTGACAAAAAGTCACATGCAGCGAAACACATGGATGGTATTATTTTTTTTCTTCATCTTCTTGGTTGTGATACTATGAGTCATTCGTATAAACTTCAATCAAGGTACATGACAAACGAAATATAATTAAAAAGATTAAATATATATTAGTTTTTAAAATATATATTGTTATTAATTGATACATTTTCATTTAGAAAATATATTAAAAATCTGAAGTATATGAATCAAAGAATAAAGGAAATAGTATAAAAAACATAACAAATTTTTGATGATAGAAGTACAGCATATATCTTCAGAACTGATCATGGAATAACCGATTGGGGTTTGCATGGAAGTGGATCTACAGATGAAACAGAGACGTCATTGATTGCTTGGGGTGCAGGTGTAAATTCTACCGGAGCTCGTTACGATGTAGATCAGGCAGATATAACTCTAATTTTAACACTTATAGGCAGTCCTTTACCAAGTAACAATGAAGTTAGTCCTATCATTATACCATATTAAAAGTTGTTTTTCTTTTGAAGTTATTTTCAGAAATATTACTTATGAAATAACTTTAAGCATAAATGTATTTTTTTACATTTTTATATGAAATATTTGTATATATCATTATTAGGGTGTATTACGAAAATAATACTTGAGAAACAATGATGTATATAGTGCGCAAGCTTTACTTAATAATTTAAAACAATTATCATATCAAGTAATAAAGAATCGTATACTTCATTGTGGAATTGATGATGATTTCATGAGTTGGCGAGAACTTACGCTTAATAAATATATTTAGGAAATTAATCAATATATCAATAATAGAAAGATAATGGAAGGAATTAAAAAGGCAAAAGAAGCAATAAAATTAGCTAAAGAATATTTATATTATTTTAAACAATATCGAAGAAATCGTTTTTTGATGTATATGACATTTATGTGGATTGGTTAGATGATATTATTATTTCTTCAGATAGTTGAAATACGACGCCAAGAAATAAAACTTTCATTATTATTATTACTCGATATAATATTTGTAACCTCATTGATTGTATTGATCATCAGATATATAAGTATGATACATATTATATATCATTTAAATTATTTAAAATGTATTTTCAATACTAGTAACATAAACATAAGATAGATCTTAAGAAAATGCATTTTTTAGTTCAAGTTTTTATTTTTCAGGAAGCAGTGGGTATAATTTGAGACAGTTATCCTATGGATTATTTACTGCCATTTCTCGTTGGTTAGCAGGTATAAATATGATCCAATACGTTCCCAAATTAAAGAAACAAAATGTTAAGAACTTTTGCATAGAAATAGGGGGAACTATTTTTTTGTTATTTATTATGTTCATGGGATTGACATATAGAGCTGCTCTCAGTGCAGGAATGTTGTTCATTGTTCTAATGCAAAAAATAATATTGACAAAAACACATAATATGTTATTATGGTCAGGACTAGCTTTGGCCATATTTCCTTTATTGCCAATAGTAGAACCCTATCCTTGAATTTATATAGTGTGAGTTATGGATAATAAACATATTCATATTTTCATATTTTCATATTTATAAATACAAAATTAATTTTTATTTTTTTTATTTTAGTTCTATTGGTATATGTATTATGATATGCAAGGTTTTTTTCATGAAGCATCAACTAAAATATAAAGCAATTAAGATAGTAAGATTAATAATAACAGGACTGATATATTTAAAATTAATAGATGGTCGATATTGGATATCCTGGATAATTTTAGCAAGTGCGCCATTATTTATTTGAACTTACACTGTTAATGTAAAGAATAGAATAGAAGGAATCACAATTGGTCTTTTCTGCCTTCTGTCCTTGTTATCTGCATCTTATGAACCTTTATTTTTCTTAATACTTGCAACGCATTTACTTCATTGGCCTTTATTTATCCAAGATAAAAATTTGATGAAATGCCTGATAATATCTTAAGTACCAGAGATTTCATTAAAGCAACTTTTTTTGTATCCTTTTTCTTCATCGTTTAAGTTATTTCCGTAATATATTCCATGAATGTATCTAATATATTTATGTGTAAATTAGTTATTAAGTAATGGTTTTCTATAGCATTCTTTAATTATACTATTTAGATGTTGTATACACTATTATGTTTTTTTGGAACAGGAAACATGGCAAGCATAAGCTCATTTGATCCTTTTGGGACACAACATTTCATTACTATTTTTTCTCCATTTATTATGTGCTCATTGATACTTTTTAAGCTAAGTATTCCTTTAATATTGATAGGGTGTGTAAGTCATATTCTTGGATCAAAAGTAGCTCTCTTAGCAGTTCTTTTTTTAGGTGATTGTTTGTCCTTACCTCTCATGTATTATGTTAATCCGTATGATAGTTGGTTAGAGATTGGTAGTTCTATTAGTAGATTTACAATCGTAATAACTTTACCATCCATTTTACTAATTTTTCATTATCTTTCTTACCTCCTTTAATGAAGTTCAATATAAATCTATTTGAACATTTGTTGTCAGAAAAAAAACATAATGTATAAATATGTGAAATATTTTGGTAGAAAATAATGAATATAACCCACCCAATTTAACTATAATATTGATACTTAGAAATTTCCTCATATAGTTCTAATTACGAAGCATTAATAATTAAAATATATCATGTCCTCCAATAAATATATAATTAATTTAAATAAGTATAAACATGTTTATAGTTGTTTACTGATTTATATTATATTTTAGACAGTGGTAAATACGTGTAATGTTTTCAATGAATATATTTACACTTTTAATCCTAATTGTAAGTTGAATACAGTTTATAGACACAAACAATTATTCTATTTTTTATTATAATTAAAATATAAATTTTAATTTATTAATTTATAAACGATGGAATAAAATTGGTTGTTGAGAACATTTATAAATTCAAGTCTGTTTCTTGTTATATTTGCTATAATGTTTAAAATCTAAAGTTCTTTCTTAATTTCCCCCCTTTTTTCTTTTCTT